AGTAACCTGTAGTAGAATATATTACTGCATAGTACAGTACAGTAACCTGTAGTAGAATATAATGCTGCGTACTGAAGTACATCATTCTGTCATTCAATATAATACTATATAGAACAGTACAGTACTCCATAGTACAGTGTAATACTGCACAGTGCAGTACATGCAAGCACGCTGCAGTACTATATAATATGATACTGTGTAATACATGAGAGCAGCCTGTACTACAACATGTTACTGCATAGTGCAGTATAGTACCCTATAGTACAATGTATTACTGTGTAGTATAACACGGCACCCTGTGGTAGAATTTAATACTGCGTAGTACAGTACAGCACCCTGTAGTACTATATAATGCTGTATAGGACAATGTAATACTGCACAGTACAGTGTAATACTATATAATACTGTGTAGTACCGTGCAGGAGCCTGTAGTACAGTATGATGATGTTTAGTAGAGTATAATACAGTGTACTTTAAAGTATTACACCATGTACTTCAGTGTATATTAGTATGTCATACAGAACTATAATGTACAGTACAGTGACTTACTGTACAGTAAAGTCAAGTACACTCCAGTATAATGCAGTAATATGCAGTATTACTACGTTATCATCGTGTTTATTTTCTATTCTGTTAAACACGTTGTAGTAGAAAGTAAAAGTACATTCAGATCAGTACTGAATACGTAGTACACCTTTCTGAGGATTTGTGGATGTTTTGTTGGGTTGTGTTGAGTTCATGTGAAGTACCACAGTAGTACTTTGCAGTACTTCACAGTACTGCGTCGTACGCTGCAGGTCGTGGTGCAGCAGCGTTCCATCTCCACGTGTTTTAATGAAGTCGACTCGCTGAAGCTGAGATTTAATATTAGTGTGAGTCTTCATACAACACACACACACATCTACACACACACACACCACACAACACACACACACACACACCTACACACCACACACACCAACGCACACACACACATACACACACCTACACACACATACACACACCTACACACACACACACACACGCCTGAGTTAACCTGTAATCTGACAGCAGGTCTGTTAACGTGCAGCAACAATTAGGAGTCTAATTCACAAACTGACATACCAGCGAGGTGACTCATTAACCGGAGACGATGGAGGGAGATAACGAGGAGGCCTGAGGAGAGAGGAGGGAAGAGGGAAGGAGACGAGGAGGCATGTTAGGAGATGAGAGTAAAAAATGAAGAGACGGCAGAGAGGTGAAAGGAGGAAGACAAAAAGAGGGGAGAAGACAACGAAAGGAAAGGAGACAAGGACACAAAGAGAGCAGATGAGGAGCCGAGCAAGGAGATGAGGAGGAAATACAAAAAGGAAAACATAGAAGGTGAACCAAGAAGAAATGAGAGGAGATGAAAGGAAAGACAAGGAAAGGAAAGGACAAGAGAAAAGGAAAGGAGAGAGAAGGAAAGAAAGTGAGGAGAATAATCAAGAGGAGGACAGGTGA